GCTGGAAGGGACCTTAGAGATCATCTAGTCCAACCTCCCTGTTTTGGACAGGGACACCACCTCTCGACTAGACCAGGCAACACATGGGGACCAAGTGGGAATCGAACCTGCAACCTCAGTGTTGGACCTTGTTGTCAGCACCGCTGCTCAAACCACTGAGCTAACAGGCCCCAAGGGTCTTTTCCAGCCTGAATGATTCTGTGATTCTGTGATCTCCGGGGAGGAGGCATCCATCTCTGGGCCACCTATTCCAGTCTCGCCACCCTCATACTGAAGAATTTCTTCCTAAGTTCCAATCTAAACCTGTTCTCGTTCAGTTTAAATCCATTTCCCCTTGTCCTGTCGCTGGACACTCTTGTAAAAGATCCCCCTCCAGCCTTCCTGTAGGTTCCCTTTGGTCACTGAAGGCAGTATAAGGTCCCCTGGAGTCTTCTCTTCTCCAAGCTGAACCATCCCAGCTCCCTCAGCCTGTCTCTTCCCCTAGTGCAGGTTCCTGCAGAGCCTCGGCACCGTCTTCTCCTTCATCTCCAAGGACGCAGTGGCCAAAATACAGATCATGGAGAACTACTGCTGCGGCGAGCAGCGGGAGAACTACACGTCGCTGCAATCCATGGTGGAGTACGAGCTGACCAACGGGCTGGTGGACATCCACAAGCGGTCGGAGCATCCCGACTCCGGCTGCCGCACTGTCGCGCTGCGGTGGCTGCAGCTCTTCCTGGAGGGGCTGAGGACTGGCCGGGAGGACTCCAGAACCTCTGTCATCTGCACAGACTCCTACAACGCTTCCCTGGCCGCCTACCACCCCTGGGTGATTCGCAAAGCCGCCACGGTGGCTTTCTGCGCGCTGCCATCCCGCAACGCCTTCCTGGAGATCATGAACGTGGGGACGCCCGAGGAGGCCATCGCTGTGCTGGGCGAGGCCTTGCCCTACATCTGCGAGGTCTACGGCATCACCCAGGAGCTCTTTGCCCAGCATCAGCTCCTCGACCTTCCTTGACGGCGGGGCTGGCGAAGGGCCACACCACGTCCTGATGGGAGCAGGAGGAACCAGGTGAAAACCGTCGTGTTTTCACGGATGCACAAGCGCCTGGTTCGCTGTCCATGGTCACGCTCTGTTTCCAGTGCAGAGCTGACAAGTTGGCAAAGCTGTTCAGGATGCCTCACTTTATAGAAAAAACAAAAGCGCACCTTTTTTTTATACGTATGTATATCTATCTGTGCATGTAGAGCCCCTGCTCTACAGTACCAAAAAAAAGGCACTACTAGCACACTTAAGGGGTTTCTTTTTTCTCCCTGGATTCACCTTCAACTCTCCAGCTCTGCTGGGAGTGAGCTCACTTGCCCACTTTTGTTTACAAGCTCTTCCCTTGAACAGATCTGGGGGGTTTTGTCCTCTTTTGTGCTTTAACCTTGAAGATGTAATCCCGAATAATGTGTGTCTGAAAAGAAGCTCTTCTCCTTGTGATCACACACTTATTTGATTACTGCTGCTAATTGTGTGTCCCCTAGAATTAAAGAAGGAATCGGTCGTTACTGTAGGAGTGTTCTTCCTCTGCGCATGGACCCTCCCATCAGCCACCTGCCCGTCAGTCTTTGCTTTCTGCACCTGGGGCTGTGGAACAGTTTTCAGTACGTGCTGCACAGTGCTGTGTCCAGCTAAGGCTGCAGGCTGTACCTTGCCTGTTCTCCAGCCATGCTTCTAAATTGTGTTCTCGTGAGTCTATGATTTTTTTTTATTTTTTTTTTAATGGATGTGTCAAATGCCTATGAAAAAGAAATCCTAACTTGTACTGTAAAACATTACACTTGTACTGTAAAACACTACTTTGTGCAGCTTATGGCTTCTCTTGCAAATCACTGTATGTAACAGCCAAAGTGTAAAATGGAGTTTACTTCGCTTTTGGAAGGCTGAAGCAGCACTAGGTTAGTTCGGGATCACTTGACTATTTGGGGGAGGAGGGAGAAAGCCGCAGGCTGTAACACGGTTTGATTGTATCTCAGAGGTGTTTTGGCCTAATGTAACACTGTGATGCAGGAAATCACGATTACCTCACGGAGATGAGACTAACTGGACATTAAATTCTCTGAATACCATGCTGCTGAAGAGTGTCCTTTCTAGGAAAGCTTTCTGGTTTCGTGGTGCCAGGCAGGTCATGACTTGGTGTTACCTATTTGCCTTTCACTTGCAGAGTTGTGAGAACAGCTGTCACAGTGGCCCAGATGAAGTTAGGTGCTGCTAAAACCACCTTAAAAGGATGACATAGTTCCACAGGATAAATCCATATATTTAACTGCAGTGGTTCCGTGTTACTGAAAACTACAAAATGCTGGATTCTGCTCCTGTCAGATGCATCCTCCTTAGCGATGCTTTTAGAGGAGCTGCCTGCCCTGAGCGAGGTCTGCTCCCAGCATCGGGCAAGTCCCAAATCCACTTCTTTGTGAGAGCTGTAAACAGAGACAGCTTCTACAAACTTGTTCTAGCAAAGATGTTTCTAGTTTGGGGGCGGGGGTCAGTGCAAAAGATGCGTCCAAACTAGGGTGTGTTGCTGGAGCTGACCACATCTCCTACAGGAAGTCCCATCTCCAGAGCTGCGACAACGAACTCAGCAAGTCACCCTGCTCGAGCACAGGCTACACGCCGAGTAAAGGAAATGAGGATTAGGCCAGTGATTTGCAACCCAGTGCACTCACAGGGTATTGCTCTGTATTTGACTACTGCCCACTAAGCATAGAGCTACACATTTCACACATTTTGCTAAACAAATTCTTCCCCGTCATTTCCATCTCTGAGTTCTATTTAAAGAGACTTCCCAGGAACTGATGAGACTGGATCCTCTGCCCCTGTTCCCTCTCCCACATTCGCTTGAAGATTTCTTTGGACCGTTGTGCCCAAAACAGAGAAATATGGTCCCTGCCGTGCTGCTGTGCTTGAGCTTTGGTTACGCAGCAGCCCTCAAGCCCACGTGCCTCTCAGCTCAGTTTCGAAGGCCGGGTGATTACATCTTGGGGGGCTTGTTCCCTTTCGGAATGGACACCGTGAACCTGGCAGCACGGTCAGAGCCCACGGTAGTTGAGTGTGAAAGGTAAGCGGAACCTTGGCTTTGTTATTGTGCGTTTGGTCACCGGGGCTGGGGAGAGAAAGTAGAAATGCTGGTGTGCGATCAGCATTTCCTACCGAGTTACACCAAGGTGGAAGATCCCAGGAATAAGGACGAAGGAGCACCCATAGCACTTTGGGAAGCACTGGCTTCATGGCTGAAGAGCAGGAGGTTGTCTGAGCCTTGACCCTCTCAGCTAAACATACTGATTTCTCTCTACTTCTGTTTTTCCTCCTGTAAAGCACAGAGGAAATACTTGCTCACAGGCAAGATTAATTAGATCTGAAAGGTGCTCAGAGCTCCACTACTCACAGTGCAGATTCACAAAGGCGATGGGTACAGGGGTGCTCCGCTGACAGTGCTGCCAGTACCTGGCTTGGTGACAGGCAGGGTGCTAAAATGTCAGAGAATGAGCCGATCGCCGCTGTGACAGCACCGACAGACCACGTAATTCCTCGCCTCCTCTTGTTGCAGGTTATTTGTGGATGGGCTAATATGGGCTCTTGGGATGAAGTTTGCTATCGATCAGATCAACAATTCCACTTCGCTTCTGCCGGGAGTAAAGCTGGGCTATGACATGCACGACACCTGCTTCGAGCCACTGATCACCTTATACCCCAGTTTGCTGTTTCTGGCCCGGAATGGCACGACGGGCATCGGGGTGCTCTCCAACTACACCGACTACCAGCCTCGTGTGACTGCTGTGATCGGGCCACATCAGTCAGATCTCTGCCTGGTAACAGCCGAACTGTTCAGCTTCTTCATGATCCCACAGGTAAAGAAACTCTCTGGAGAAGCAAGAATTCTCCTTTTTGGTGAGGGAAGGATTTGGATCAACAACGCTGTCCGTGCTCTAGGTCACTGAACCAGGACTGTTAAAAAGTGCGGAGTCTCTCCTCTGCCACAGCTTTCCTGAGTGATCTTGGGCAGGTCATTAAACTTCCCTCCTGGAACACACTGCAGTGTCTAGCTTCTCACCATCCTGACCCAGTATTTTTGACAATCTGGTACACTGAGACTAAGCAAAGAAGGTGGAGAGTGGTCTGTACCGTGAATGCTTCCCTCAACTTTACTTTTTGCCTCATTTTCTCTCTTATCTTCTACCTCGCAGGTGAGCTATGGAGCAACCAGTGAGCAGCTCAGCAACACGAAGCTGTACCCATCCTTCTACCGTACCGTTCCCGGTGATCAGAAGTTGGTGGAAGCTGTGGCCCTGCTTCTGAATAACTTTGGATGGAACTGGGTTGCCACCCTTGGGAGTGATGATGAATATGGTCGAGGAGCCCAGGGACTCTTCTTAAGCATAGCCGGAAATCACAGCATCTGCATTGCCTTCGAGGGGCTAATTCCTACAGACCGTGAAGACCCCAAAGCCAAAAACCAACTGGAAGAAACCATTAAGTTAATTAACAACACTAACGTCAACATTATTGTCCTTTTCGCCTTTAGTCAGCCAGTGCTGACCCTGCTAGAGCACAGCATCAGGATGGGGCTGAGCAAGAAAGTCTGGATTGGTACTGAAGCCTGGATGTTGTCTGATGCAGCTACCTCCATCCCAAATATTCAGAGCATTGGAACAGTCTTAGGCTTCGTAATGAAAACAAGCACAGTCCCTGGCTTCCAGAAATACGTCGCTGACCTCTTTACCTCTGTTGAGCAAGATGAATTTTGCCAGGAATCTGACCGCCTCATCATCTCTGACACGCGGGACACCGTATGCAAACAGTGTGACCACATCTCGCTGCACAACATCTCGTCCGTGCTACGCCGCTCACAAACACAACACGTGCACGTCGCGGTCTACAGCGTAGCTCACGCGCTGCACAGAGCGCTGGGGTGCACCCGTGAAGCCTGCCCCAAAGCACCCGTCAGATCTTGGAAGGTGAGTAACAGTCAGGGGAACGAAGAGCAATTTTTCATCCAATCTGCGCATCAGAGCTGCACACAGCCAGGCAAGGGGAGGGGGGAACATCGCACAGTGCTCCTGCCCCCCACCCTGGTAGGGATACGACCTCAGCAATCTCTTCAGCCAGTGAACCCCTACCCCAGCACGCTGCCCCTTCTGTGCTGCTGGCTAGGGCAGAAACCGGCTTACTGCATTATCATCCTCTGAGCAAGAGCGTCAACTGTACCAATATTTACTGCTGGTTTTCATTTTGTCCTCAGCTGCTGCACTACATGAACACCCTCCCGTTCCAGGTGAATGGTCAAAGTTTCAGGTTTGATCAATCCCACGGCACAAACACTGGCTACAACCTTGTTTTCTGGTCCTGGAAAAACGGCACCGTTACGTATCTGCCTGTAGGCCACTATGAAGAGTCCCTGTACGTCAATAAGTCCCAGATTCACTTTCATACTGCAGATCAAAAGGTAAAGACGGTGGGCAAAAGCACAATCACAAAATGAAGTAAACTTTGTGGCCGCTTCATCAGGACTGCTCAGCCCCTAGCTGGCATGCTACTCCTACACGCTCTGAGTGGGACCCAGATCTTGCTCCTCTGCCACCACTGTGCAAAACTAGGAAAAGGTATTCCTGGCTCTGTTTGCAGGTTTGATCCCAGCACACCGCACAGCCAACTTCTTCTCATTTGTTCGGTTATACAACGCTTCTCCTCGAAGTTCCTGGCTGACTTCATTCTTCCTTTTGCCTAGGAGCCCATGTCAGAGTGCTTCAGACACTGCAAACCAGGACAATTCAGACGAATAAAAGGATCCCACCTCTGCTGCTACGACTGTACGGATTGTCCAGAAAACACCTTCTGGAGCTCTGAAGGTGAGGTCTGGGATTCAATGACTTTAACTCCCTGTATTATGTCCGCCCATCAGTTGAGGTCACACAGGTTCGCAGAACTGTTAATGACGAGTTGTGAGCTTTTCCTCCATGAAACATTGCCAGCACAGAGAATCTGCCTCCCTTTAGTTCTGCTGCACGTTGCTCAGCCTTGCTCCACAGATCTCCAGTGGAGGACCTTCCTCCCTTGACCCCAGAGAGAATGGGTAAGGAAAATGTGTGTGTTTTGTCTCAAGAGGTAGGAGAGAGGGGTATGATGAAATGCTGGGGTCACAGGTAGAAGGAAGGAAGCTGGTGATCCTTCCGGGGGAAGGGAAACAGAGCCAAGAAATACGTGGCTCCTTTTGAGGGGTGGCTGGAGATGTAGAGGGGAAAAAGAGATGGAACTGTCACAAGCTTTGGAGATCCAATACACTTACAAAGGTGGGGCAGTGGGCAAAGCAGCACCCAAACCAGCTGCCTAATCCGTGACGGTGACCCATCCTGGAGGAGCAGGGCAGTGCTGGGTGCTCAGCAGCTTCTCCCTGCTGCTTTGCAGACAGCTCCACCTGCACCCCCTGCCTGGAGCACCAGTGGTCCCCCGCCCGGAGCACACACTGTTACGACCGCAGCGAGAGGTACCTCTTTTGGAACGAGCCGCTCACCATCGCCTTGCTAACGCTGGTGGCCATCACCACAGCCCTGACTTGTCTGATAGCAGCGCTCTTCCTCAAGAACCTTGAGACTCCCCTCGTGAAGGCTTCTGGAGGAAAACTGAACCTCTTCGCCTTGCTCACACTCACGCTGCTGTGTCTCAGCTGCTGCCTCTATGTGGGGAAGCCCAGTGACAACCTTTGTAGGATCCAGCAGATAGTCTTTGCTCTGTGCCTCAACGGTTGTTTCTCCACCTTCTTCATCAAGTCCCTTGAGATCACCCTCGTGACAGAGTTCCCTCGCTGTGCCCCCACCTTCCTCGCCTGGGTGACCCAGCGGAGGGCCTGGCTCCTTGTCGCCTCGTGCCTCCTCACTGAGTGCTTGTTCTGCTTCTGCTACCTTCGTGTGGGCCCTGACTACCTGCTGTCCGACTACAAGTCGCTGCCCACTGAGGTTCTGCTCGTGTGTAACACTCAGTCCTGGCTCGCCTTCACCCTGGTGCACGGCTACAACGGCTGCTTGGCCTTCGTCTGCTTCCTCTGCACGTTCATGGTACAGACTTCTGGTAAGAAGTACAATATTGCCAGGGGGATCACGTTTGCCATCCTCATCTATGTCATCATCTGGATCTTCTTCATTGCTGTTTTTGCCACGCTGAAGACAGTCCTCAGGTCTGCTGTTGAGATTAGTGCCATTCTGACAATCAGCCTGGGCATCCTGGGGACCTACTACATCCCTAAATGCTACATCATCTTGCTCAAGCCTGATCTGAACACGGTGGATTATTTCCAGTACTCCATCAAAGAAGAGCCAGAGGAGGCTGAATAAACAGCCAATAAACCAGATCCACCCTCCACAGCTCCTCAGTTAAAGCTCGCTGTGTTTTAATGAGATCATTTGATTGCTTATGCTGACTCTACAAGCTGTGGTCCCAGATACAATCACCACATAAAATGCAGCCTGATCCAATGGGCTCAACTTTAGGAGCAGAATTTTAAGCTGCAAAAGCACAGGGTTCTCCCCAATGAGCTAAAGCAAAATGCCCCCAGCAAAATGCCCATCCATCCGCTCTGTAGCAAACCAGCTGCACTTTTCAAAGTCAGTGTTTAAATTTCTGTTATGTAATGTTTGTTGTGGTGAAAAAAAAGGGTCTTTTTTACTTTTTTGACTACTTTGTCACAAAATCTGTAGAAACCATTCTGATAGGTAAAGGCAGCTGTCCACACGATATAAAGAGTCTATTACCCATTCAAATTTCCATTCATTCATTTGTGTTTCATTAACATGAGTTTGCAAAGAGCATGGAAATGAGAACAAGACACACGAAAACGAACAGTGTGCAAATCACACAGCCCGAAGTTCCTCCCATCTGAAAAGCCATGACCCACCGGACCTTACGGGGGGTGGCTCTCCTTACGTTGCGGGACAAACCCACCGTGGTGTCAGGCTTACCAGGCACCCTGCAAAGTGGTGTCCCAGCGACCCGAGCTCGTCTCTGCTGGAGTTTGCGTGCAGAGTCCAGAAAAAGGGAATATTCACGTGCAACAGCTGAAGACGCTGACGGGTTCCACCAGCAGACTCAGCTCCTGGGTCTGCAGGCAGGAAAACTCGTTCCAGCTCACGTCTTTGTACGAGCGCGTATCCTCCAGCTGTCTTTTACTTCCACCAGCTTTCTTCCGCCTTTCCTGCGTGCCTATTCCTGCCAAGCTGTGAGAGGGAGAGGCTGAATAATTAAGAGTAGGGCAATCTGAGGGGAAAGCACAACCTCTGCACCAATATATTAGGCCTTGTCTTTCCAGGCAGATATCATTAACCTGCACGGAAGAGTCAGGCCTCTGCACTTCAATCATTTGGGACCGAGTTTCACGGTGAACGTTCCTGTCATACTTTGAGCTGTAAGCACTTCTGAAATACCATGAAATCACAGAACTCCCAGCTGCCCGTCATTAGCTCCTGAACAATCTTCTCCTGTGGAGAGGACAGAACTTCAGTGTGGCAGGGGAAAAAAGAGAGCAGGATTCAACCGATATTTCGTCATTCCTGAGTAAAAGTTAATGCGGTAGCGCAAAGAACGGAAGACATACACTGCAGTTATCACATAAAATTAAAAGCTTTTTAGTGTTTAAAATAGCATTTACACATAAGCAGCTATATATTAACTATACAGACACTTGGGTTTTAATACAATATCTACAAAAAAGAATTCAATTATGCAATAGACATTTAACAGGAACAGTGCAGTCCATGCTAGTAAGAGGTCACTCTTTGAGTAGAACCAATTCTAGAATAGGCGATAGTCTGGGTTTTCATTATTTAAAATCAGGTAACTTTGTTCCTCTACTGTACATAAAATTCTTTACATGTATTTCTAATCACTGATTAGAATTAATAATTTTAAGTCAATCTTATTACAATCCAGTTAAATGCAAAACAAAAAACAATTACATCAACTCATGAGCTGTCAAGTCTCAGGATGGGACTGCTCATTTGGATAAACAAAAATAATATCAAAAGTCAACGTCTGTGCATCATTGCTTGCCATCCAATATACCTTTGGATAAAGTGTCCAGGGGACTGTTACCTTTGAAAAGTAGATTTATTAACAGGAGGTAAAAGACAACAGCAGTGCTTTTAAGACTATTTGCCAAAAACCTTACTCCTCAGAGTGAGTACCCTGGGTGAGTGCGCCGCCCCTACAGACCCGGCTTCCCTTGGCCAGGAGGCACCATCCCAGGCTCTTTTCTCATCGTTTCCTACGATCTTCCAAACATCCCTGTAAGTCCTCCTTAAAAGCTGTTGGCAGATATGCACGAACATTAAAAGCTCAGCTGCAGAGCATGGGGCAGATGCTGAGAGTGTCACTTCCAGAACAAAAATGTCAACTATTTAAGGCTCCTGGCAGGAGGTTGTTCCAACGCCCCGCTCAGCAAACCTGTAACCTCGCGCTGTAGTCAGGCTGTGCGCTCTAGAGCCCAGGTACCTGATGCTAAAATCTGAAAGAAATTCCAGACCCTGGTGACAGAAAAGAGTTCTGCAGGAACACTTTCTCGTACTCGGCCCAGCGCTTCCTTGGTGAGTGCCTGCCCTGGCACCGGGGCACGTCTCTCAGCGGGTCGCACCGTACCCAACAGGAGGAACCGGCAGAGCGCAGCCCCAAAGCCTCCTTGTCGCAAAGACACGTGCACCGAGAGCCAAGGGTGGGATTTGGGGAATCTCCTGTCTCCGTTCACTTAAGAGCCAGCAGCGCTTCAGGCCCCATTCGCTCAAACCAGGCTCTGGTTGGGCACCACGTATTGCACTGTTCACACAAGGGTCACTGACGTCCTCTCCACGCTGCCCAGCGCGTGTGTCAGGACCTTCCGGGCACTCGCCCCCAGCCCCAGGTGGGTTCCTGTCTGAGGGTGAAGCCGGCTCAAGGCCGGGCTCAGCCCCTGAGCTCTGCAGCGGACAAACGCGCTCCCACCCCCGCGTTAGGGGCTGGCACCTCCTGCCAGAGTAACCCACGAACACCAAGTGTGGAACACAGTCATTTCAACATAGCAGCAAAGACCAGCAAGACACAGAACAGTTTCTGCCAACAGCAATAACAACAAGACAAAAAAAATAAAACAACCGCGCAGGTGTGTAAACTGCAACTCTTGAAAAGACATAAGGAAATTAAACTTTTTTTTCTTCCACGGGTGAAAGCTCAGCCTCCAGCTTTAATCCCTGTTGGAAACAACCTTATTTAAATGACAGTCTTTTTTTCCTCCAGCCCTCTATGTTCTGCCTTAAGACAAAGCGGGCTAGAAAAACTGTAATATATAAGAGATCAGAAAAGCTAAAATTAATTTAAAAGTAGAACCACTAGTGATTGTCAGCAAAGTCACAGACTCCTTAACAGCGTCTCCTGGAGACATAGCAGAATTACAGAATTATTTTACCCTGATTTCTTTCACTGCTTGAAATGTCAATCTTTCCAAATGGTTTACTAAGTTTAGTTAGCTTCTTTGCTGTGTTACTGGGAGGAGGGAAGGAAAAGAAAGGATTTGTTGCACGGTCAAGCTTCAGGTAGTGCCCTTGTTTTGAACAAACCATCATCAACTCTGTAACCTATCCTAGCCCATCAGATGGATTTTGACGAAAGCACCACTTTCAGAAGCATTATGTAGCGTTCCAGGAGGGTTTTGTGAAGAAAACTGTCCCAAACCACTCAGCCTGTTTAGAAGCCCAGTAATTGGAGTACCTGGGCTGAGTGACACCCGGTTTCCTAAAAGCCTAGCTCCCTTTTGAAGGGGAGACTTAAGCCTCCTCTTAACGCAGATACTAGAGAACATTCTGACTTTTGTTAGGGCGGTGGGTTTACACACAGACCTGCAATAAGAAAAGAAGCGAGAAGTCTATCGGAATAAGCAACATACAGAACGGACAGTTTGAAGAGTCATTTTTCAGGGTGGCAAAGGGACATGAAACTACACGTACACAGCGAGAAAGACATGTTCTCGTTCGACATTCATATTGGATTTTCACACTACCCCTAAATCATGAAACGTAACAAAAAGAAGCTTCTTACCAGTGAAGAAAATGCTTATATACAGTAAAGACTGATTTTGAAGCACCTGTCCTAAAACCTGCCACGAGCAGGTATCTCACAAAAGAGGATTTAACTGAGGCATGGCCCCATGGTCAGACACCCCTGAAGGACCGCAGCTTAACCGTATTTCCCAGGAAGGGAGCCAACGTAACAGAGCGTGGGTGTGCTCTTCACCATGGCCTCATTCAGATACCTTAAAAAAGCTTCTTAAACATCAGTCAGTGAAGGTTCCTGAATGTACTTTATCAAGCGTCCGTAGCCTTAGAGCGAAAAATAGACAGTAATGAAATCTTGGGGATACACAACAGCAGTTGCCTAAGTCAAAGCTCCCCAGCAGGAGCTCCAGCACGGGGCTCGCCCTGTGTCAGGTGTAAAGATTCACGGGTTGTACCACTACGAGCTGTTCTCAAAGCACACCCTCACCTCTCTGCTCACAGCTCGCCCCCGGCTGCGGTGAGAACACGTTCCATTGGGTAACACTGCAATTGGGATTAGACATCTCTAGGTTTCTATTAAAAAAAAAAAATTTAAAAAAGGAAAGATGCTGCTCAGATCTGAAGAACAGAAAAGGAAGTGATCAAAATGAGCAGCCACGTCCCAGTGGGAGCCAGGATTTACCTACGTCTCTGCTAGAATGGGCTAAATGTCCCCTTCAAAAGGGAAAAGGTGCAGCTACGCTACCAGAATCGCAGAGCAGCAATTGGCCTATTTCTGTGGAAACAGTTTTTAAAATAAAACCTGTAAGCAAGTACGCGTTATAACCAGAAGGAACAGACACACCTGTCAGCAGGGATGTGACCAAAATGCCCAGGAACAGACTGCAGCTACAAAGTCACTACTCTGATACTAAATGAAATAACTTTACAAGTTTCTGCACAATGAACACACACAGTAGCAAGGCTCCACCAGTCCTTGATAGACCAATACCTAAAAAAAAAAAAAAAAGATAAAGAAATATTGATTTTTACTCCCTAGTCAGCAGAAGTAGCCTCCTGCCAGGAATTGGTTTGAGTTTGCTCCTCTCCAAGCACGCGCTGCCTGTACACTTGCGGGTGCTGAGAGCGCTGACCGACGCATCCGAGAAAGAGCGTTACCCAGCCAGTATCACAGATACCAGCCAAAGGGCCATTTTTTTTTCCTTGGAAGAGGAAAAAGCAGGGAAAAATAAAAGTGCTATTATGCATTATCGGAAATTTAGAAGTCATGTGAAACAACAGTCCTTGAATCAGCCAAAAAAGATACACTAATTGCATTT